TCCCTGCTCAGCCCTGCCCTTTCACCCGGCACAACTCCTACAGCTAGCTGGTGGGGCTCCTGTTCATTTCACCTGTCCCTCCTCCCCCTGGAGAAAGTTCTCTAATAGTGAGTCCGATCTGGCACCCCTGATTCAGGTAGGAGCCACGGGCTTCGGTGGGACACGCGAACAGTGCAAGATGATGCCCATTGTCCCATCTCTTCTTGAGCAGGAGCGAAAGAAATCCCCAAGACACCTATTACAGCCGGACTTGGTCTCTGCTTCCCTTCACAGGCCTCGGGAAAAGGGCAGGACGTTTAAGAACACCACCAGTCCTTGTACAAAAACTTCAGAGGGGTAGCCGAGTTAGGCTGTAACTGGGCAAACTTAAAAAACAGTGAATAGTCTAGCAGCACCTTACAGACTAACAAATCATGTAGATGGTATTATGAGGTGTTGTGGGTACAACCCACTTGTAGGGAGAAAGTGGACGTCCCACTGTAGCTGGGTGTGACAGGGAGAGGTTTTCCGGTCCTCTACTGACCCCAGCTCTGTGAGCAGAAAGAGGCCAGGGAAATGCACAGAGCAATGCGAAAAAACAGGCGGCCCGCTCCCTCCCCTTATTCTCACTTTGACACAGCGAAGAGGAGATGGGAGACTGCTGGCTCTTCACTCCGGTGTGCTGCGTTCTTAGTGCTTTGTGTGCAGAGAACGAGAGAAAACTAGATATCTTACCCACCAATCCTCCGATGCAGGCGTTGTGTGTGTGTGTGTGTGTGTATGTGTGTGTGTGTGTGTGTGTACACACACCCAGGAAATGATGTAGGTGCAGTGGAATGATTTGAAATGTCATGCAAAATATACTCTTACCAAATATCAGTACCTGCAGAGAGGTATCTTGTATGAGATTTCAAAGAACTCAGCTGTATCATCTCTGGAATGTAAACTACCGAGTTTTGTATTGCAGGTGTCAGAGGGGCATCGCGCGTGTGTATGCGTGTGTGTTTATGTGCTCACGTACATTGTCGTATGATATGTTTAAAAGAATTCACCTGCAACTGCCTTGCAAAGCGAGTCACACAATAGTGCACATGCCAGGACTTCGTGTCGGTGTCCAGTGTCATATGTATATTCTACTACGGTGTGCATACACACAGAGCCTCGGCAATCACAGGAATCTGTAGTTTACTTGCCATTCTGTGGAATTATTTGTAACCTATGCAAAAATACACATAGGCGCGCTCTTAGCAGCCTGCTGACCAGGGAGACTCAGTGGAGAAAGGGTTCAGAGGGGTAGCTGTGTTAGTCTATAACTTTAAAAAGAGCAGAGTAGTCCTGGGAGACTCAGAGACCTCAGAGACTAACATATATACATGAGCTTTCGTGGGCAAATCCCACTTCTTCAGATGAGCTCACCGCATAGTATGATTGCACCGTGCACACACACATTGACGTTCAATGTGGTCGGAGGCGGTGGCTAGTTGGACTGCACCCTCATGCATTGCCATACAGGCACTGAAGTGACTAGTGGGAGCCCTGGGTTGGCAGAGGGAAAGGCGGGCCAGAAGGCCTGCACCGGCCCAGCCGTTTGGGCCTGTAGGTGAGGGGACCGGCTCTGTAGGTTTTTGATCAGATCGGATCCAAGGCTTTGCTGTTTCTCTCCCAAGTGCTATACATTGTTTTTCAGATTCAGCTCGGAGTCTGGTTGTTTTGTTTAATTAAACTCAATGTCAGCTTTAATTTTCTGCATGGGCGGGCAGCCCTGCCTTTCCTGAAATTGCCATTTTGTTTATATATGTCAGTGCACTTTGTACAGCCTGGCGCTTCGAGCGGCTCGGGGAGGCTATTTGCGAGGTATGGCCCGGTATGCCCAGCTGCGGGGCTGCCCATTTGTCTAGGCAGTCTCCGAGATCTAGCCACCCGCGCGGGCTCCTTCCCGACCCGGTGGGGCGCTGGACGGCTCCTGTGGCGCAGCGCGCTGCGTGTCCGGACAGGACAGCTCCACGCAGCGGAGTCCTGCCGCAATGGTGCCCCGTGGCCGGGCGGCGGGGCTCAGCTCGCCGTGGCAATGCCATTTCAACGGGAAGGCCGAAGAAGGAGCTTTGGTGCTTGGCCTAGAAGGGTTGGGGGCGGGGCTTAAGGGCCCTGCGGAAAGCCAGGTGTGTGGCGGAAGGCGCTTTCCAAGGCATCGGGGCAGGACTGCAGGCTCGGAGCTGAGCCCCTCCAGCCTTGGGGATCCCGTGGGCAGAGCAGCGTCTTTCCCGGGCTCCTGCACTCTCCAGGGACGGTCCCCACCCTGGCTGGGCAAACAGCCCCTCAGCGCCTGCACAAGCACAGCGCGCTCCGGCCCTCGCGGGCTCAGCTGCCAGTGCACATGTGAGGGGGGTAGCCAGCGGGTTCTAGGTGCCCCCGACAGTAACTCGAGCTGTACCCGGGATCCCCTCCCCCCGCTGACGTGTCTGATGGCTCTGGCCTCCAGGCGTGAGCAGGGCGCACGGGTGCGTGTGGACATGCACCTCGTTTCGCCCGCATGTGCTGGTGCCTGCCAAGGCCCGAGGCTGAACCCGGCCCTGGCTGACTGTGTTCCTGCGGGAGCGACCCGGGGAGCGAGGCAGAAAGCGGCTGCGCTGTCAGGCGCACAAAGGAGCCGGGTTTACAAGGTGGATTAGCTAAAGCCGATCCCTTCCGACGCTTCCCCCTTTTGTGGTGTGACGGTCAAAATCCGCGCCGGGGTTCATCTCCCTGCTGGGGGGCAGGGCCCGCCGGAGGGAGCGCAGTGGGTCCTAACGAGTGTCAGGACCTTCCCTGCCTTTCCCAGCCTGGGCTTTGCTGCGGCGTTTGGAGCCAGGGCAGGCAGCCGACCCTTGACAGACTCCCCGGGCACTGGGAGAAAGCTCCGGGAATGCGCAGCTCTGCTGCTGGGCGGACGAGGTCGCCGTCGCCTGGTGTTCCCTGGGTCCTGGGGTTCTCTCTGGGCTTTCCTTGGTCATGCCCTTCCCCTGCCCTGCTGCCCATCTCTGCCCCGCCCCTGAGCGCTCAGACTAACGCAGAGCTCTGTTGTGCTGTGCCAAGCGGGCAGCAAGGGGCTGGAGGCCTAGTTCCGCACCTGCGGCCCCACAGCACCCAGGGCGCTGGCCCCCGAGATTCAGTCACACCTAGAGGCTACTGCAAAGTTTGTTTCCTAGCCGCGCTGAAGCCTCTCCCCTCCTTCGCGGCGCGGGGCCCCAGCCACTCCGTAATGCCCACCACATTGTCCCTCCGCCTGGCCAGAGAGGCGGGACAGCTCCGTAACAACACACTGGGCCGCTTGACCTGCGCCGGAACCGGGCTGCTATCTCATCGCCCCGCTGGCTTCTCCTGCCTCTGTCCCCTCCCGGTCCAGTCCCAGCGCTCGGGCCAGGAGCAGGAAAGAGGGCTGCTGGTTACAATTGAGCCATTCCTTCCCCCCTCCCTTCACTGTTAAGAGCGTTTGCGGGGGGTCCCGATCCTGCCCCGATGTGCCCAATTTTCCTGCCACGAGAAGTTCCCCGGATCTCAAGTGGCAACTAATCACTCCCAATGAAGCTCGCGCGTAAACCGTTGCGGGATCGGGTCTGAGCTCTGGGGTCTCTGCGGCAGGGCTTATTTTTAGAAATAAGGACCCTCTTCTTAACCCACCACGCTGCAATGCGCGCCATGGGCTCTATGGAAATCCTGTTTCCCCATCTGAGGGGCTAGTCAGTGCGTCTCCCGCTGTATGAAAACACTTGCACCGCCAGCTTTGTCGTCTGCCTCGCCTCCGGAGCGCAGATCGGAGCCAGCAGAGCGAGGAAGAAGCTCTGAAGTGTAAGAGAAGCCGGGTGTGAGCAATGGACACGGGCAGCAGGCTCCCGGGGAATGCCAGGATCCCCCGCTCCCTGAGGCGGGGAAGAGGGGCACTGCGGGGACTGGCGAACAGTCAAAAGCAGCAAGAGGGCGATGCGGGACTGCAGCCGTGAGCCGAGCGCTGCTCCGCAGGTGACTGGCAGCGTTGAGCAAAAGAGTTTGTGTCTGTCAGCGCCGCTTTGTCAGCCCCCTTCCCTCGCGTATTAACTGCCCCAAAGATACAGTTTTGTGTCCAGACTTGCCGGGCTCGGGGCTGCCCCCAAACGCGCAGTCTCCGAGCGGGTCAGCAACCCCCTTCAGTTTTATTCACGGTGTTTGGCGAACAGGGAAAACTCTCTTTGGCCGGAGGCTTTTTCAAGCCGAGAAAGGGCTCTCGGGGGGCGTAAATAACTCTAGCGTCTCCGGCTCTAACCGGGCCAAACGGGGCTGCCCCGCGAAGGGGGACTGGCCCTAGTCATTCCGGTACGCCGTTCCGATTGGGGTTATTCGCTCCCCGTACTGCCAGCAGGACGGGGAATGAGCAATTACCCGGGTTCGGCTCTGCCATCCCTACAGAGCGATGCCATTGCAAAGAAGAGAGCCAGGGCAGCTCTAGCAATTGCCATCGGCTGCGTTGTGCAAACCCGCCGCCGCAGACCCCTCCACGGTGCCACAGCCCGGCTTTTCTCCCCCTTTCTGCCTTTACTGCCCCAGGGGCTGCCATGGGAAAGAGCGACAAAGAGGGGACAGGCAGCAGCCCCCCCCCCCAAGATGGTAGATGGGGGGAGGGGTTGGTTACTGATCCGAAGGGAAGGGCATTTCCAGACACTGGATTCAGGGGCTTTCAGCGATCTTTGGCTTTTCCTGCCTGTTTAGGAGCGGCCGGACCACAGAACTCCTACCTCCTCCTCTGCTGTGGGCAGACCCCACGCGGTGCCACAGTATCCAGATCTCCTTGCTCTGCGCCGTGGCTCGCAGCTCACCTGCGGAGCAGGCACTGTGCCCCCCAGCTGTACAGTTCGTTCTAGGCGGAAATTAGGTTGCAGAGGCAGATGTCAAAGTCCGAACGGCCACTGCCCGCAAGGAGCTAATTTGCCCAGGTTTAATTCCTCTGCAAAAAAATGGATTCCCTGAATCCAGAAAGTACTCAAGCTTATAAACTAAGAGCCGGACACACTCTTCCGGGCTGTAATTTATTTCGTGCGATCCCCGCTTCCTTGTTTCGACGCAATGTCTTTGCTCCCAGAAAAAAGAAGCTGTAAGGTAGTCCGTGTAGCTATTTTAATAAAGCGTAAAATAATTTTATTAGGACAGGAGTAAAGTTTTCAAAGACAGATTAATTTTAATCAACTCCTCTCCACCCCCAAAAAGTTCCTAGGATAAGCTAAGCGAACTGGCTGCTCAAACTATTTCTGACCACTCGAGTCGCTTTATATTGCGCAAAAATCGCATCCTCAGTTTATTTTTTCAATGCTAGGTGTCAAATAGTCACTCCGAAGTAGGACAAAATTATGAGATATGTTCTTATTGCTGGAGGAATATTTTTAAAAGTTTCGAATTCGTCTCTAAACATTCAGAAAAAAATCAGCTCGTACACTAGAATCAGATTTTTAGTAAAAAGAAAAAAACCCGGAAAATTAGCACCGTCATAATAAACCATTTTAAAATATAGTACTATTTAGTGATAAAGAATATAAGAAATAACTAGTGTGTAAGGCAGAGATTTCGATTAATATAAAAGGCAGTCTTTTAAAAACTGTACTCGTCAGTTAAAAAATTTAAATACACTAACCAAAAATAATGAAAAACAACGAGTAGTCTTGGGACACCTTAGAGACTAAAAAAAATATAGATAGTATCATGAGCTTTGGTGGGCAAGCTTTCGTGAGAAGTGGGTTGTGCCCACGAAAGCTCATGACACTACCTATATTTTTGTTAGTCTCTAAGGTTGCCCTAGGACTACTCGTTGATTTAAAGTTACAGACTAACACGGCTCCTCCGCTGAGACTTTTAAAACAAAGATCATTAATTTAACATGTTATTTAAAAACACACCCAAACGAACACCACACCAAAAATCTCGTTTAAAATTAAATCGGGTGATTATTAAACCTTGCGTGCAGCCTTGGGACAATACATCTCATTCAAAGAGAACGAAAAACTCTCTCAGGTTTAGGAGGGACATGAACGTTTACGGTTGAAAAGCAACGATTTCAGAATCAGGAAAAAAAGTGTGACGCCACATAATAATTAAACTATGTCTGTATATCCAGCTACCTCTACTTAGAAACGTACTGACTGGTGCCATAGCAATGTGTCTGTCTACCTGATGGAACCCCTCCTCCCCCGATTGATGCTTTTATTGCTGGGAGTTCCCTTGCTTGCGTTCCCCCGAAGGTCGCTGTCCTACAACTTGGTGCTGAAATGGCTTGAAACACCAGACCCCAAATGCCGCCTGGAGAATCCCTCTCCTTCAGCATCCAGAGAGTGGCGGTCCGTTTCCAGGCGCTCGTGTTCTGTGCTCAGAACTTGGCTTGGGCAACGCCAGGTGAGCAATCTGTCTGACAGCGGCGAGGCTTTCTCTGAACGTAAAAAGCGCGCGGGAAACCCTGAGCTGCTACTTTCTTGCAGCCCTGGCCGTGCACAGGCTTCTTTCATTTGTTTGTTTCCCTTTGAGCCTCTTTGCTGACCGAACGGCTCGGTGGGATCTACCGATCGCGCGCACTAGGGGCACGCTGGTCGGGCGTCGAATCGGTGTGTTTGGGGGCGGTGGGTAGCCCTCTGTCCCGCGGAGAAGACAGGAATGGTGGCGCGGCTGTGTGCACGGGGGAAAGCCAGGGACAATAGCGTTATGCTGCAGTTAACTGGGCGAGGGGGGACCTGAACC